TCCACTGCCTTCCCAGGCCACAGCAGAGAGCTGGACTGGAAGAGGAGCAACTGGGACAGAATCCGGTGCCCCAACCAGGACTAGAACCCAGGGTGCCAGTGCCGCAGGTGGAGGATTAGCCAAGTGAGCCGCGGGACCGGCTACTTTTCCATTTTTGTAACTTCTATTTTTCTTATGTTATTGGTTTCTAGTTTTTCATATTACTGTGTTTGGAAGAGATATTAGACATGATTTCCATCTTCTAAAATTTGTTAAGACTTATTTTGTGACCTAACGTGATGTATCCTGGAGAACATTCTGTATATACTAAAAAAAGAATGTGTATTCTTTTGTTAAGTGGAAAGTTCTGTTAAGTGGAAAGTACTTATCTCTTAGGGCCACTTGATCTCTAATGTTGTTCAAGTCTGCTGTTTCTTAATTAATTTTTTGTCTTGGTGTTTTATTCATTATTGTAAATGAAATATTGCAGTCCCCTACTATTATTGCATTGCTGTCAATTTCTTCCTTTATATCTTTCAATATTTGCTTTATATATTTAGGTGCTCTGTTGTTGGATGTGTATATATTTATTTTGTTCGTCTATCATCTTGTTTAATTGGCCCTTTTATCATTACATGATGACCTTTGTATGCAGAGATACCTTTTACTTAAAATCTATTTTTTTTTCTGTAAGTTCAGTTAACTGTGCTCTCTTTTGGCTGCCATTTATATGGAATACCTTTTTCTGTTTCCTCAGTAGGTCCCCCTATCTGGAACTTATGAGATTGTTGGCTGTGTGTGAAACCTTCTGTGACTATGGAGGATAAATGCAAGCAGATTGATATTCTAGGAAATTTCAAAGAATACTAGCCCAGGAGGCTCTCCCAAAACTTTCTTTCTTCTCATCAGAAGCTGTGCTGACACTGCTCATTCTGCTTATAGGCCCTGTTCATTATGTTTTCTTCTCATTTACTCAATGTATATCATTTGCTCTCCAGAGCACTGAGGAAAACAAGAGAGGCACATCATGGTTTGCATCCTCCAGGAGCTCACCAGCCAGACTGTCATGGAAGAAGCATAAGAGCAGAGTATGTGCTTGGCTGACAAGGAGTGTGTGTGGGAGAATGGCTGCCAATGCTGCCCAGGCCATGTCTGTAAGAATGTGCCCAGAGAGCTGATTGCTGCATTCCATGCTGTGTTCTGTGCCCAGGAAGTGGCTTGTGTGTTATATTTTCTAGACTCCATGTATGAGGAGGACCTTTGTGTAGTTTTGGAAGCACCACTCTTAAGTTTCTATCATTCTTAGCATTTTGATCCATTTATCAGAAGTCTTTCTTCCTAGTATTCAAAAAGTTATTTTTTTTTCAGCATTGAAATTTAGGAATGTCCACAATTATATATAAAGTGATGAACTCATTGTCTTATAGAATCATTTAATTTAAACATTTTATTCCACATATCTGAGACTGATCATCAGTATTCTTTTCCATTTTTTTAATGATAAGAGTTGTCTTGCTGGCGCCGCGGCTCAATAGGCTAATCCTCCACCTAGCAGCGCCGGCACACCGGGTTCTAGTCCCAGTCGGGGCACCGGATTCTTTCCCAGTTGCCCCTCTTCCAGGCCAGCTCTCTGCTGTGGCCCGGGAAGGCAGTGAAGGATGGCCCAAGTGCTTGGGCCCTGCACCCCATGGGAGACCAGGAGAAGCACCTGGCTCCTGCCTTCAGATCAGCGCGGTGCGCCGGCTGCAGTGCGCCAGCCGTGGCGGCCATTGGAGGGTGAACCAACGGCAAAGGAAGACCTTTCTCTCTGTCTCTCTCTCTCACTGTCCACTCTGCCTGTCAAAAAAAAAAAAAAAAAAAAAGAGTTGTCTTACATTGATGTGTGGGGCTCCGCAGGGTAGAAAGGAGCTAATGGTGGCAGTGGATCATGCGAGCTTGGTTATGTGGGGGTGGGGTGTCAGTGGGACTGCAATTGACCTTCCAGCTCTCCTGAGCACTGATATTAGTAAGTGGGTAAATGCTGTGGTTGTGGTTTTCTGCTCATGTATGTATCAATATGCAAAGACCTGATTGCACTGATCTTTTCCAGAGCTGAGAGCTGCTTGAGTTATATAGTGCAGTTTTCTTATTTTATAAACAGGCAGACAAAGCCCCATAGGAGAGAGGGAAATGCTTTGTCTGAATCTGATTGCAACTGCTTTACTTTATGACATGGAGAAAAATAACTCAGTATTGTGGAGATTCAGTTAAGTGGAGGTAATCACAGTTTCTTCCTCATGGGGTCATTGTGAGAAGTACCTGAGATATGTATGTAAAGCACTTAATCCAGTGCCAGGCACACAGTTGATGTTCAATAAAAGTTAATTATTTCTACCACTGTCTAATACAACCGACCAGCGACTAGGAGTAAGGTCTCTTGGCTATTTATAGAACATCCTTTTTCCGTCAAGACAAAATTAACCAAAAAGTTAAATCGGAAGAAATGATTGTGTGCAGATGGAAATTGCAGGGGCCGCATGGACATATTATATTTACGGTTTGCTCGGTCTCTGTAGTGCCTTTTCCTCCTGTCTCCGTCCATTTTCTGTTGCTATAATGAAATACCTGAGGCAGGCACTCTACGAAGGATAGAGGTTTATGTAGCTCACGGTTCTGTGGGCTAGGAGGTCCAAGAACATGGCCTGGCACCCTCTCCTCATCTGCTAAGTGGTCTTGTGCTGTCCTGTAACAAGGTGGATAACATCGCATGGTCAGGTATAACAAGTGCGCTACCTCAGATCTCTCTTCCTCTTCTGATGATACCGCTAGTAGCATCATGGGGCTCCATCCTCATGATCTTTGTTGGTCCTAATCACCTCCTGAAGGCTCCTTTTCCAAATACTATGAGCAGGCAAATTTGGGGATTAAGTTTCCAACCCTTCCAAATCATTCTACCTCCTCTTTTCTTGTGGAGCATGTTTCCAAAGCTGTCACCGTATGTTCAGCTATAAATCATACAAAAGACTTAGATATATGAAAGCTGGAAGTGTCTTCACCTTCCTCTGTATAGTGTGGGGAAACTTGGAGCCCTGGGTGTTGCGATAGAAAATCTGACTCTGGCTCCCAGCTCACATTCTATGGCCTGACTCCAGCTTGAGTCCCCAAAGTTGTAATGTTGGGAACAGATTTCTGCCCTTTCTATCTGCTAGTTCCACCGGAAACATCAAATCAGAAAGTTTTGAAGTGTGTCAAACTGAAACTGAAAAGCAGAATACAAATGGAAGGCATTCTTAGAATTTGGTAGTAACTTATTGGATTTTAAACATTTTTATTCGAAACAAATACATCAACTCTTAAAAATTTAAATCTGAAACTGGTATAAAATTATCTAAAGCTAACTTTGAATCCAGTGGTAAAAATGAGAAATGAAATGATTTTAGTCAGAATTAGACTTTCATGTAATTACTAGAATAGAGAGTCGTGTTCTGTGAAAGGGAAGGAATAAAATAATTGAATGAAAACCACCTTAGGTTATTAAGAGATGTTTAATTTTCTACTTGGTCTTGTGGTGTTCTTTTTGTATATTTTAACAGTTTTATTTAGGTATAAATTAGGTATCATAATTTCTTTGGAAGTATGCAATTAAGTAATTTTTATCAAGTTTAAAGAGTTTTGCAACCATCACCTCAATCCAGTTTGAGTACATTCCATCATTCCATAAAGGTCCCTAGGACCCATTCTTAGTTCTTGTTGTTACTCCCAGCCATAGGTGATCCTGATCTCTGTGTTTCCCTTACTTTACTTTTTCCGGAGAGATTTTGTAACCAGGACAGTACAATATACAGTTATTTTTACCTGGGATGTCTTATTGAGCACATTTTAAAAATTTTTCATCACACAGTTCCATGGTGTAGCATGCATTATATTTTAGTTATCCACTCACTATGAATGGACATTGGGAATGTTTCTAGTTTTCATCTATTTTGAATAATGTTGCTATGAACATTCATGTCTCAGCTGGCTTTATGTTTTCACTTTTTTTGGGTAGATTCCTTGTAGAATTAATGAATCATATGATAAATTTATGTCTAAGTTTTAAAGAAACTACCAAAATGTTTCTCACAGTGTACACTATTTTACACTCTCACTAGCAATGTATGGGTGTCTCTAATTACTCCACATCTTTGGCTTTCCTCATATTTTATCTTAGAAATTCCACTTCCATTTGAACTATAATTAAATAGAAAAGATGCTTTCATGATTCAGTGGCAACACTGAAGTCTCAATTAGATTAATTGTTTGGCTGTGTACCTTTGGTTTAATAATAGTCTCAGTAATTGGGAAGAATTGATTTATGTTGTTGAACTAATAGTCCAGTTGCCTAGGGAGTATATAGTAAATAATTAATGACAATTTACTGCAAGATTTCTTGCAGAACATGCTTTGTTCAGCCTTCTACTGTTTTGTTAGGGATTTCTAATTATTCAGGAAACAAAAATAGCTTTATTTAGAAGGTACATGTGTTGTTGTTGGTTGTATGAGTTTATGGGGTATACAAGACCCTGGAACATTAAGACCTGTGACTTGTTTGTCATTTTAATAGATAGGCTATACAATGACAGACACTGGCAGGTACTCATGTCAACACAAGATTTTTTAAAAGAAGACATTTATTTAAAAGACAGAGTTACACACACAGACACACACACACATATACCTTCCATCTGTTTGTTCACTCTCCAAATGGCTGAAATGGCCAGGGCTGAGCCAGACCGAAGCTAGGAATTTAGAGTTTCATCTGGGTCGTTCATGTGAGTAGTAGGGACCATGCCTAAGACCATATTCTGCTGCCTTCCCAGGTGCATTAGCGGGGAGCTGGATAAGAAGTGGAGCAGCCAGTACTTGAACTGGTGCTCATATAAGCTGCCAGCAGCAGCTTAACCTGTTGTGTGCCTCAATACTGGTCCCAATACAAGCCTCTACTTCATGTGTGGTAAATCCCTGGTGTACTGGGGTGAAGTAATTTCTATATTTCTTTCCAGATTGTTCACAGAACCTTGGCAGCCATGTTGGGTTCCCTTGCAGCATTGGCAGCACTGGCTGTGATTGGTGATGTAAGTTGAAGCATTGAGAATTCTTGATTTACCACTTACTAGAATGTAAGACTTGAAGACACCTGAGGATTTAGGTTTAGTGACATTTTTCACTATGTTACAAGCTCCTTGGACAGTTTTTCAAAAGAACCATGCTAGAGGTGTGATCTAGAGGCATCAATGATTGGCTTGTTTTTGCTTTTATCACATACACAAACACACATGTACATACATATACATCCCAGGGCTTCTGTTCCCTATTTTGGTATAGGAAAGGCTCATTATGACTATTCATTTTCCCAGAGCTGTGTAGGTTAGTGGTATTAGAGCTAGATATACTCTTGTCAGCTTTTGGGAAACAGAAGGGTAGCAGACTGTGGGGTTGAGGCCCCTGGAGATGTATATATGAAGGGAATGATGTCCTACTGTGGTCTGTTTGTAACCCATCTGGCAGGAACATGGGGACAAATGTTGGGAAGCAAGAGAGGCTAGGTGCCCACTGAAGATAAAGGCCCAGAGCTGTTTGAAGGGCAGTGCTGGAATCAAACTAAACCCAAGTTGACAGCACACAGAACTGGATTTGAAAACAACTCTATGGAATTCAAGGACTGTTCTGAACACTGAAAGTAGAGGCCGTTAAATCAGCCAAAGAATAAGAACTAATTTAAAAGTTATGTTGAAAATGTTGAGTTAGTTATTTTTAATTTATCCTTTGAAGGTTGGCTTAGCTTGGAAGTAGCAGTAACTTGAACATTTTGTTGTCTACAAGTGGCATAAGCAAATGATAACCCTAAAGGTAAAATGTCCCAGAACCCTAACACTTAGATATAAAATTGTTGTTATTTTTATTAATGATTAAGGAGTACTGCCATAGTAGTCTAATACTTAATATGGCAAGAACATGCTGCAGAAAACCCATGAGCCACTCACCATGCTTCCCTGTTCTAGAAGCTAGACTCTGTGCCATCATTAAACACTCCACTCCTCATTCTTTGTGGCCTAGGAGTGGAGTAAGTGGGCACACGGAAATTAGGAGAGATGTTTATCCAAGTTGTCACCTGGCCTCATTATTATACTAAGGAAGAGATACATGTAGTGTCTAGTGAGAATGCAACCTTAAGGGTCAATTTTGTAATTCAGACCACAGTTCTCCCTAGAGTTGCCAAGGGATAGAATTAAAAAAAATGTAGTGCTAAGTGCATAGATCTGACGTTGCAGATGCGTTGGGTCATGAGTATTTCCAGCAATGATATGATTTAATTTCAAAGGCAAGTGAATGCAGTTTCCAATGAGTCCAATGAGTGGATTTGCAAAAGGTAACACATTTTTAGAGCTTATCCTTGGGAGGGTGATGCACAGGATTAATTGGCAAATTTGTGCTTTGATTGCAGAGACCCAGTCTGACCCACGTGGTGGAGTGGATCGATTTTGAGACCCTGGCCCTGCTGTTTGGCATGGTAATTATAGTCCTCCCAGTGGGACATGGCTGTAAGTCTGCTGTAACCTGGGTTCTTCTTTTTTGCCTTGGCTGCTGATAACCCTTCATTATATTAAAGATTCCGGGCCTCTTGACAATTAGGGCTTGATTGGAAAGTGTTAGTGTAGGTCTATCTAAATCCTCTTGAGGAGGAATAGAATGATTTAAGCCTTGTTTAGTTAGTTGGAGAATTTCATTTTAAGGTCTGACAATTAAATAATATTGCCACTTGGAAAAGTCAGCATTTTATTTGTTACTTCCATTAAAATAAAAATGGAATGTTCCAAATAAATGAGCCATATAGAAGTTTCAGTGATTGGAAAAGTACCTTTAATTATATAAAGGGAGAAATAACCTCTGAGTTGTAGTTCAGGTGTTTGTTAATTTATCATATTATGAAGTGGCCACTCTGTGCTGTGTGCTATGAGGCATGTCAGTAAGTCAACTTGTTGGAAAGAAACTTTAAATGCACAAATGGATTAATATAGGACATGAGTCATAAACCAATTTAACAAGAATAAATGGAATTTGGCAAGGCCCTAGACAGCAGTGGGAGTGGCTTATGCATTCTTGAAGAGAACTCAAAATTGTCAAGTGAGCAGGTCTCATCGTCCCTGGGCTGGAAGATCCCACCTTATGAAAACAAGGTCACCATATGTGTATGTGTATATGTATATGTATATGTATATGTATATGTATATGTATATGTCATCGTTTTTCTTGCTAGTGTTTTTTGCCCACCCTCTTCAAGGCTGGCCACCATGAAGGAAGGCTCTGCTGCTGTAGGCTTTTTTTTTTTTTAAGGGAAAGAGTTTATTGGGGGAAACTTGACAGACAGGAGGGAAGGGGCGAAGAAGGAAAAGGGGGAAGGAGAGTGTAAGAGAGAGACAGAGACAGAGAGGAAGAGAGAGAGAGAGCAAGTGAGCCACGTGGTCAGGAACAGGTCATTTAAAAACTTTGCCCAGGGGGTGGGCAGGGAAGTAGGAACTGTGAGTTTCATTAGTACAAAGGTGGAACTTGACACCGGTAGTTGGGCCATGTGGCTACCTGGCTTCCAGTAATGGCGGCGGGGGCTAGAGCTTAGGGTGTAGATCGCACCATAGATAAGACTGTGCCATTTTACTAACATTCCCCACTTTTGTTTTTTGTAAAGCAGGAGTAGTATGAGATTACATTAGTCCCAAAGGTCCAGGAGGGGTAGAGGGATGGTGATATATCTTTAGAGCTACTTCCTGCTGACAAGAGGCGATGAGATACCCTTCACTGGCATGGCGTGATGTCTCAAGCCACTGTCTCCTGGGTGGGGAGCTGAGTATATCCCTGTAGCAGCATTTGGTTGACCACTGGGTTGCTGAAGGCCTTGGTTCATTCCATTATCAACTCCTGTAAACACTTAAGCAGACACAGTAGTATAAAAGACAGGGTGAGAATAGCAACCAATGATCTTAAGAGTGGCATTAACCAGATAATGAGAAGATTTCATAGAGGAGAGGAAATGAGGGGGGTTCTCTGGACCCTTGTGAGGACAGTTTGATGGATGTGCTTTAAAGCTGATCTCAACCAAGCCTGGGAAAAGGTCCACTCAACTTTTGTGGGTAGAGGGGTTTGTCTGTAGAGAAATTCTGAATAATCATACAACATTAAGTGGGGGAAAGGACTATTAATATACACAGGTTGGGAGTAGAGCCATTGATGTAAGAGTAGAGGCTATGATTACAAAGGAATGAGGCCCCAAGTGGGCTAGACAGGGTCTAGAACAAAGGACAGAGTCATTACTAAAAGACCTAAGAAAGGTGCTATCTAAGCCACAACTAAGTTTTCTGATTGAGAGGCAAATAGAAACTGACAGAAGGGGCTTGATAATAATCTGGTGGGCTTTAAGGCCTTGTCAGTTATGAGGCCCAGACCTATCTATCTCTTCACATGGGGTGCATCATAAGGGAGGTGTGAACCTCTTTGGGGAAGATACCCTGTTGTATTCCATTACCTAGCTGGCCTGGGAGGTGAGCTGGCCAGGTAAGGGCAAGTGGTATCTCTAATAGGAAATTTGTAGTTCTGCCTGCAATGTCACTGACCCTACTTGGCCATCCCCTCAGCAGCAATGGTCACCTTGGAAGCTGGGCCAAGTGAAGAGCTTTTCAGCTTGGAGGCAGCAAGACCTGTGGCTCTGACCTAGGCGTCCTTTGACTCCAGGGCAGTTCCATTTCTAGTGATCCAGCTCTTGGCTGGCAGGGCTGCCAGGGCTCTTCATAAGCTGACTTCTGCTGAAGTCCTGGCTTTCCACATCGAAAACCAATGCAGTGGACTGGCTTGTTGGGTCTCTTTGAGGGCAGATCGCTGTACAGAGCAGTCTTTAATAGGCCTGCCACCTAACTTTACATTGCTTCTGATGCCTAGCTTTCTTTTCCTCCTGGTTTTGTTAAAGCAGACCAGAGGATGCAAGTCAAGGTGGTGCTCAAGTCCTATCTAATCTTTGGTGGCCTAAATTAGAAGTCTGTCATCACAGACATGTTCTGGTAGTGGTTTTTCTGAGGTAGACAATGCCCATGAGGAAAATTATATGCTCAGTTTAAAACTTTCTCTCCCTTTGTTTGGTCTGAGAAGGAGGCTTTGCCTGTTTACTGTGCCCATGGGAAAGTAAGTCTAGTTGTGAAATTATAATTTAAGCTTTCACTTTAGCTATGCTATTACAGAAAATGTTAGCCATCCCTTTTATAAGATATAAAGATCAAATTGTGCATCTTGGAGAGTCCTTCAGAATAGAATTAGTTTCCTACCTCAAAGGGAATAGAGAAATGAGGGAGCAAATCCCAGATTGCTCACTGACAATAGCAATATCAAGTGAAAACTTGGCAAGCAGTTTCAATCATTGAATAACAACTTAGGAAAACATTTACCAGAAGGTTCAATTCCTTCCATAAATTTTAAGAATATATGTCTTTGGAAGCATCTCTTGAATTTCTAACATGGTGTAGCTTGTTTAACCAGCAAATTCAAGCACAAGCATATAAAAATGCTTTTAGTTTCTACCAACAGATTTAAAACATCTGATACAGAGATTCAGGTCACATGAATCAAAATGTTCTCTTTGATTACTTTTAGCCATTTAAATTGATGAGCAATCTTTTATCTAGAAACCAATTAAAACAAAGCTCTTAATAAATTTTCCCATGTAAACATACAATATATACACATATAACACACAAGATAGAACAATAAAGCAGTTTAAATAATAGTTTTTTAAAAAATATTTAACTCCTTTTTGTAAATTACCAATTGATTCAAATTATTTTCTGCTCTTAGTAACCTCAGTTAACCATATTTTCTCTCAGTTGGTACCTGTAATGCATTATTGGCTTCATCTGTTTACAGAGTTATCCCAAAGCACTGAATACAATATATGTGGCTGGAAAAAGTCCATTGGAACCTATACAAACCTGTGGATGACAAAAGACTTTAAATAGCCATGTTTAAAATTATAAACTCATTACCCAACAAGAGGCACTTGCTTACTTCACACAGTATTTTTGAAAGCACCTGTAGGATTTTAGAAAGCATTTAACCCTTTTAGGCCTCTAGGGTTTTCTCATTAAGATAACCATCATGTCTAGAAACACAAGATCAGACATTTATATCAGTAGCATTTTATATTATAAAAATATAAAATTTAGCACCACTTTACATCTTGACAGTACTTCTAACATAATCCAAATAGCCCGATTAGTTGGTGTCTCTACAAGATGAGAGACATACATCCAAACTGGAAAAATCAAAGTCCAAATTTACTGGAAATTTCAAAATCTAAATTCTTTGGAACTTTTATTTTTTGAATGCCTGTCAGGATGCCTAGAAGGCTTAAAATATCTTGTTGAAATAAGATCCCTTAACATCATGACATAATATAGACCAAATTTGATCATTGTTACAAGGTGATTATTCAAATGTTTTATAATAAGCATATATTTAAATAACCCATAGCTCTTAATAAAAAACTCAGCTGTTTTTAAACAATTAGAATTTAGCAGAGATGTCAAGAAAACATAATAGATTTAAATAAGGTAACATGTCAAATTTCAGCCTGAGTTATTTTAAGCAGTGTTGAACTATTTTTATGGACAGTTTATGAAAACATATTTGTTAAACCCAAATAGTTTTTCTATAGAATATAACATGCTGAATTTACCAAAGTTTACATTTAGATGCATTTATCTCATTTGCCTTTACTCAATTTAAATTAGCAGTTACACCTAAATGACTTAAGATGCTGATATTATATCTCTATCTGAATTCAATTAAAATTAAAATTGTATTCATCTAAAACAAATACTAATTACTCATTGCTGTTTCATTGAGTACTGATTACCTGGAAACCTGTTAAAATAAATTGCAAAATAAGTCCAGCAAGTTACAAAGCAATATTTTGAAAGGTAGTGATCTTCCTAGATTTGAAGAGAGAAATTTCTTCAAACTCAGTGTCTAGTTACAGTTGCTTTTTTTTTTTTTTTTTTTTACACTAAAAACACCTTAGGACCATGACATCATAGTCAGTCAGCCACTTGGGACTGCCTCTGAAAAAAAGGTTCAGGCAGCTGCAACACAGTTCCCAAAGGTGATGGTGGGCCAGAGACAAGACAAGAAGTGGAGGTCAAAAGACCTGATTTTCCTTTCTGGCTTGCTCATGATAAAACAAAAGAGCCATCAGAAGGGTGGGATACCTAATTTGTTTCTCAATAAGCAGGGAGCTCAAAAGGATGGGATTACCATTCTCTTGCTATTCTTATGGTAGAACTGGAACAAGAAAGGGAGGGGCAAAGACCAGTTGGAGGACAAGGGCTGGAGAGTGAAAGTGTGGAGACAGCCATTCCCAAACTTGCTGGAGGGTCATTGATAAGACAGGGAGAGTAGACTTTGGACCAAGCCTGGTTCTAAGATAATGTCGGAATTCCTGGGTGGGAGGAGGAGGTACAATGAACCGAGACAGTGAAGAGTTGGGGCCGCAAACGTAGTAGGCAGAGGTTTTGGCTCAGGCCTTTGAGCTCTAGTAGAAACTTTGGAGGCCAACAGGATCTGGGCCAAAGAGCAGGAAGTACACATAGAAGGTTTAGATTGAAGATAGAAAAAGCTGGAGCATACGGGATCTCCTTCCATTTTCCTGAACACTCGCAGAAGTGATAAAGATCTTGAATGTTATCAGGGTCAGATATACCATGGAGGGGCCACTTTGATTGTCTGTTAGGGTCATACATGGGCCATGCTCAATTACAGAGAAAGATGAGGCATCGACGTTTGTGGGCTGGAGCCAGTTTGGGAGGGACCATATTACTTAGGAGGCTACCAAGAGGAGAATCGGATGGAACACAGGAAGAGAAAGTTCCCATTGCAACCTATAGAGTCAGATCGGTCGATCCTTGAAATCCTGGCCATCTGACTAATGAGAGGATATGGGAGCAGAAGGCGGGGTCATCACCCAAGTGCCCACTGGAACCCAGGGCTTAGCCTGTAGATGGGAAACAGAAGGTTGAGTCTTCACCCACACCCACTGTTGCCCAGACACAGCATCCGTAGAGACTAAAAGCCTTTGGAAGTTGTGGTTGGTGCCAAGAGCTAGGACTTTTAGATGAGCAGACAAGAGTAGAACCACAACTGAAGTAGAAGTCGCTGTGAGAATTTCCCATTCTGTGTCTTGTCTTAGAATTTGAAAGGCCAGTGTGTGGATGGAGATCACGGAGCATTCAGTGCTGTGGAAGGAGTTCTAGGGGTGTGTTTTGTGACTGGCAGAAATTCAGGACCCCAGAGCAGCTCAGAGAGCCCCGAAGGGAGAGCAAAGTCACTAGGGGAGCCTGGATCCGGGTCACAGCACCAACGTAAGGCTGCCACAAAAACACACCAAACACCAGAGTAAGGGAAAGAGTTTACTGGGGGAACCCAATGGACTGGAGGGAAGGGGCGAAGAAGGAAAAGAGGAGGAAAGAGAGCATAAGAGAGAGAGACAGAGACAGAGTAGCCAGGAGACAGAGAGGAAGAGAGCACTGCTGTAGGCTTTAGTGTGACCCAAAGTAATGCTGTTGCTCTCTATGGGTAGCATGTGGGGCGGCCAATGCTCTGAACCCAGGCTTAACAGAGGAAGTAATTTGTATTGGGTCTAGATAAGTACATAGGGTTTGGGCATCTGGATGGAAGTAAGGAGACATGTCAGCTGTCTAAGTATTTATAAGAAAGAAAATTAAGTGAACAATGGTGTATTAGCTTGGTCAGGCTGCTATAGCAAGCACCTTGGTCTGTGTGAGTTAAGCAGTGGAAATTTCTTTTTTTTTTTTTTTTTTAAGATTTTATTTATCTATTTGGAAGTCAGAGTTGCACAGAGAGAGAAGCAGAGGCAGAGAGAGAAAGAGAGAGAGAGAGAGAGAGAGAGAGAGAGAGGGCTTCCATCCACTGGTTCTCTCCCCAGTTGGCTGCAATGGCTAGAGCTGTGCTGATCCGAAGCCAGGAGCCAGGAGCCTCTTCTGGGTCTCCCACGTGGGTGCAGGGGCCCAAGGACTCAGGCCATCTTCTACTGCTTTCCCAGGCCATAGCAGAGAGCTGGATAGGAAGTAGAACAGCCGGGACTTGAAACGGCACACATATGGGATGCCAGCACTACCGGCAGCAGCTTTACCCACTGCACCACAGTGCCGGCCTCTGGAAATTTATTTCCTCACACGTATGGAGGCTACAAGTCCAAGATGTAGGTGTCAGCAGTGTTAGTGTTCCCTGAGGCCTGTCTCCTGGGTTTGTAGATAGTGTCTTCTCCCTGTGTCTTCATGTGACCTGTGTTTGTGCCCTAACCTCTTCTTATAAAGACTCCAGAGTTATTGGAGCCAGCTATATCATAGAACATCATTTGAACACTATTACCTCATTAGGTCTTTACCTATCTCTTCATTACCGCTCTTAGAAAAGACCTGTGCAGTCACAGGCTGAAGTGTTGAGAGCTAGGACTTCAACATACAGGTTTTGGGGAGCAGTGTGTGTCATAATTTGGCCCATAACCATGGTTTCTTTTTCCTCAACTGAAGTCAGGTTTAATAAGAATGTAATTTCTATGATTCAGTAACTATAGGAGTACAATGAAAGTCTCCATAACCAGGTTCCTGCCCCATTTCCTCAGTATCTGGGTTCCTGAGTCCCAGTGTCTCTTGTGTGGCTCTGTCAGCAAATGTGTGGAGCAAACCCCCGTGACAACAAAGGAAAGACCACACAGATATCCACTCACATCTCTGCTTGCTCATGCTTGTGTGCACCTTTCATTGTTGTGTGAGGTAACATGTTCTACAAATAGCCCCTCAGGCCTTTTTGGTCAGGATGGACACTGGTGGTTACCCTAGACAAGGAAGGTATTTGTACTGAATCAAAACTTTCATTGGGAATTTTTTGCATAGTTTATTTGAAAGCCAATATTGGGCCTACTATTTAAGAACTACTTTAATTTATGGAATTTTGGCAAATTTCCATAACAGTCTTACAAGGTACAGAACATTAAAAGGTAAGGGGAGGGAAATAAAGAAGGATTAATTAATATATATATATATATATATATTTGCTTAAAGCTGAACTGCTCCTAAGTGGCAGAAACAGAGTGTGAAACTGTATCTTGTCATTACCAGTTTAACATATGATAATTTCCATTTTAGGAGATGAAATAGAGACTCTTCCAGGAAATTCAGGCTGCTTAAAAATCTCTGATTGATTAAATTCAGAAATGAATGGGACGTTACTTTTTATTAGCATTAAGACTGGTTGCTTTCACCAGCTCATTGTCATCAGTAGAAAGAAACACAAGTTAGTGTGTAGGCATTCTGGCTTCATTGAGAATCCAGGGAATAAATTTCTAACAAAACTGTTGTTATTTTTATGTGCAATCAAATTGGTGACAAAAATCAATTTATTTTCAGAAACAACATTTAACCCAGTTTTACACTCCCTCTTAAAACATGTAAGCACTGCTTGTGTAGACAGGTGCAGAAAGTCTCATACTGGCCCATTTCCTTCCCTGCTTCCAGCTCTGTGGCTGTGAGCAAGCTTCTTCATCTCTCTGATCCTCTTTTCCTGGTTGTTAAGGCAGAGAGTAATAACACCTGGTATTTAGTGTAAAGATTAGATAGGATGATAATGTACCTTGGGAGAAAATTCCTGGACAAAACAAGTGGTACAAAACCACTAGCAAGAGCCTCTATTCAAAGAATTAGTAGGTGGGTTACACTAAGAATTAGTGGTTTTTAACCAAGAGGCTGAGGAGCTTCCAGAGCTCACAGTTCAAACGTGTGGCTGATGCCTCTGATGTCTCAACTTGCTGTAAGATGCTCCTGGTCTTTTTTCCCTCTTTTCTTCATAGATGATCCTTGTAGCCATATTTTCAGAAACTGGATTTTTTGATTATTGTGCTGTAAAGGTAAGTGTGATGTTGCATTTAATTGTTGTGCACTAATAGCTGCTGTGTTTGCTTCTCTGATTTTATAATTGTAGTGAATCAAAACTATTCTTTAAAGAAATGTTTAAAATTCCATCTTGTTTTTCCAAATTGCTTTTGCAATGCTGGTTACAGTTGCTGTGCTAAGTTGTATGTTTCTGAGTGACTCTTTCAGCTTCTGCATTAATACATGAAGAAGGCTATCAAGGAAAAGAGTAGTCAGGGTGAATATTTGCATAATATTATTTGAATCAGCTGATGAGAGCTACACATCAAACATTATTTTGCATGTTAGAGCATTTAAATATTTTAAGGCATTAGCCTCTGATTATTTTGTCTTTTGATGAAGAACTTTAATGATTACTATCTAAATATTGATCATACACAGACTCATTCTTTTTTAAGTTAGAGAAAAGCATACTTGTTTTTAAAAATCCCTTAAAGGTCTTATTTTAAAAGTTTATTAGTAATATTATATTGATTAACAAATTATAATTATATACATGCATGGGGTATGGTACGATGTTTATAAATATAGATGAATATGCACAAACACATGAAGGGGCTTCAAAAAGTTCATGGATTTTCCATGAAATTTTGGAAGCACCCTCACATGTACACATGTGGGATGGCTAAATCAAACTAATTTATGTATGCATCATTTTGTTTGCCTCTCTTTTTTATGGTAAGGCATTTGAAATGTGCTTTTAGTAATTTTGAAATATATAATACATTATTGTTAACTGTACAGAGGTGCCCTCCAAAGTCTGTGGAGTGTAGTATCAAAAAAGAAGTTTATTTCGATTTTACAAGGTTTGAACTCCATGTACAGGTTTTTCATTATATGCATTTCCACAAACCTTTTGAAGACCTTTCATAGTTACTCTTCTATACACTGGATCTCAAAACCTAGTCCTCTGTCTGAAACTTGGTGCCCTTTCATGAGAAGCTCCTCATTCTCTTCCCTCCTGACCCTGCCAGCCCCTGGTAGCTGCCGTTCTGCTCTTTACTTCTGAGATTGACTTGTTAAACTTCCGTAAGTGAATGCAGCATGCAATATTTGCTTTTCTGTGCTTGGCTTATTTCATGGAACACAATGTCTTCAGCTTTACCCACGATATCACATTTGAAAGAATTTCCTTCCTCTTTAGGGCTGAATAGTGTTCCACTGTATATACCACATTTTCTTTACCCATTCATTTGCTGACAGGCACTTATGTTGACTGCATGTCTTGGCTACTGTGAATAGTGCTACCATGAGCTTGGGAGTACAGATTTCCTTTTGACATGCTAATTTAATTCCCTTTCTATATATACTGAGAGATGGGATTGCTGATTCACATGGTAGTTCTAGCTCTAGTTTTTTGAGGAACCTGTATACTGTTTTCCATAATGGCTGTGTCAGTTTACATTCCTACCAACAGTGTGTAAGTTCCCTTTCCTCTGCTCATTGCCAATACTTGTTATCTTTCTTGTTTTGAAAAAAGCTATTCTAACAAATGTAATGTGATATCTCATTACTAGTAGTGCAAAGACTAGTTCTATGCTTGACATTTTTTGAAGCCAAAAGTTATTTAAAAAATATTTACTCAGCAAAGCCCTTTGCAAACTCTGAAAGATAGAACCAAGCTATAATTTTTTTGCCATCATTGATCAGTATCATGCACATTCCAGGTAAATACCTTCCATCTTCCTGCCAATACCCTTACATGTCCAAAAGATAAGCAGCCGTTAGGGTCTCATGGAGCCCAAATGACACAGTCCACGTTGTCTAACCAAAATACTAGATGACATTAATGGGATTGAGGCTCCTCACCTTGTGACAATCCCCTGTCATGGGGGTATTGTGAAAAACAATTAAGGAGAGAGAGTGCAGGCCCAAATGGATTTAGAATGTCCAGGGACTGTGGTCCCTAGTTTGACCAGCATAATCTTATTTAAAAAAAAAAATTTTTTTTTTTGACAGGCAGAGTGGACAGTGAGAGAAAGAGACAGAGAGAAAGGTCTTCCTTTGCTGTTGGTTCACCCCCCAAATAGCTGCTACGGCCAGCATGCTGTGCTGATCCGAAGCCAGGAGCCAGGTGCTTCCTCCTGGTCTCCCATGCGGGTGCAGGGCCCAAGCACTTGGGCCATCCTCCACTGCCCTCCCGGGCCACAGCAGAGAGCTGGCCTGGAAGAGGGGCAACCAGGACAGAATCTGGTGCCCTGACTGGGACTAGAACCAGGGTGCCGTGTGGGGAGCAATTCGGACTAGACTAAGTTACTGGAATTAAGACTTATTCTATGCATCTGCTCTCCCACAATATGGCGCTGGGAGAGAAGAAAACAGCTTTTACACAGCTGCCTCCAGTTCAACCAATAAACTGTAGGACTTGCTCCTGATTGGAGAGCAGCGTGCTCGGTGTGTGGGCAGCCGAGTTAGGATTGGCGGAGGAGGACTATAAAGGAGGAGAGAGACGGCATGCACCAGGAACATCTAAGGGAAACATCTAAGGGAACACCTGTGCAGCCCCCGAGAGAGCCGGCTGGCGGTGTGCCGCTCCCCTGTGGAAGTGGGGAATGTGGCCAGGGGGAACCGCCCTTCCACGGAGGTGGAAGGGACAGTAGCCAACCCGGGAAGAACCAGCAGCAAACCTGGGGAGGGCCGAGCAGACGAAAGAACAGCGCAGGGTCCTGTGTCGTTCCTCCATGAAGACGGGGAGCGACATAATGGTGCCATGACTCGGATATGAAGCCTAGGCAGGGTTTAGTGTCGTTCCTCCACGAAGACGGGGAGCGACATAATGGTGCCGTGACTCGGATAGGAAACCTAGGACGGATAGCAAACTTAGGAGGGAAGAAACGGGAAGAACTGGGAAAATATCGGAGAGAGAGACTAGCAAACAGCCTAGGGAAAATATCGGAGAGAGAGACTAGCAAACAGCCTAGGGAAAAGCCGGACGAAAAAGGTGCCGGAAGAAGTTATTGAAAGCCTAGGCATAGACTCAGATACGGACTACGGGGGGAAGCTGGGAGAAATCTCTAAGGTCGAAAGTGAAAGTGAAAGCTAGAACAAACAGACTCGGATGCGGACTGTGGGGAGAGGCCAGGAGAAATGAGGGAGGAATATTGTTGGAAGAAAGCTTGGGGAAACATACCGGGTAGAGAAAAATGTTAGGGAAATTGAAGCCGCGGGGGGCATGCCGAGGCGGAGACGAAAGCCACTTTGGGATTCTCAAGTTAGCCTGGGAATAGGGGGCGAAAAGTTGAAACCAGAAGCAGAAACGTAAGCCAGATTGGGATCCGTCTGATTAGCCCGGGGAGCAAAGGACGGGAAGCCAAATCGTGGGGAGGAGACGTGAGCTGGGTTGAATTCGCCAGGCTAGCCCGGGGAACTTGGATTGAATGCTAGTGGCGGAGACGTGAGCTACGCTGTGTGACTCGTGGAGGCTGCCGCGCGCAGAGAGAGCGTGCGGGGCACAAGTAGATAGGGAACGCTGGGCTAAGTGCGAGACCGCGGAGTGTGCGCGCAAAGCCGAGCCACACAGATGAGAGAGGCGCGGGCTGAAGCGGCTCAGAGCCGGAAAGCCGCCGAGAGGCAGCCTCGGGGCGGGCGCAGCCGGGAAGCCGCGGGGATAAGAGAAACAGAAGTTTAGAAGTAAAATGAGAGAAATAGGAATGTTGGCAGACAGAAGTAAAATGGGAGAAATAGGAATGCCCGGAGATAGAGAAGTAGAGAAATAGAAAGGCCTCCCCACAATACTGCAATGAGAAGGCTTGGATTCGGTCTGCCTGATTAGTGAGGCGATGAGCACCTGCGGGCGGCTAGCAGCTTATGCGCCGCAGGTCACTGAAGACAGGCACGAATTAACATCAATAAGGCCTCCCCACAACACTGCAATGAGAAGGCTTGGATTCGGTCTGCCTGATTAGTAAGGCGGTAAGCACCAGCGGGCAGCTCGACCAGAGTGTGAGCTGCAGGTCACCGAAGATAGGCACGAATCAACACCAATAAGTCACCCCACAACATGGCAATGAGAGAGCTTGGATTTGGTCTGCCTGATTAGGGCGATAAGCACCAGCAGGCAGCTCGAGCAGAGCATGCGCTGCAGGGCACCGAACACAGGCACGCATCAGCGCCTAAAAACCTCCTCACAACATGGCGAAGAGAGGACCCGGATTCGGTTTGCCTGATTGATAGGACTTGTAAGAACCTGTGGCAACTCTAGCAAGTAGAGCAGAGTGTGTGCCGCGGGACACTGAAGACAGGCGCGTATCAACGCCAAAAAATAAAAAGAAAGGGGGATCTGTGGGGAGCAATTCGGACTAGACTAAGTTACTGGAATTAAGACTTATTCTATGCATCTGCTCTCCCACAATATGGCGCTGGGAGAGAAGAAAACAGCTTTTACACAGCTGCCTCCAGTTCAACCAATAAACTGTAGGACTTGCTCCTGATTGGAGAGCAGCGTGCTCGGTGTGTGGGCAGCCGAGTTAGGATTGGCGGAGGAGGACTATAAAGGAGGAGAGAGACGGCATGCACCAGGAACATCTAAGAGGAACATCTAAGGGAACACCTGTGCAGCCCCTGAGAGAGCCGGCTGGCGGTGTGCCGCTCCCCTGCGGAAGTGGGGAATGTGGCCAGGGGGAACCGCCCTTCCACGGAGGTGGAAGGGACAGTAGCCAACCCGGGAAGAACCAGCAGCAAACCCGGGGAGGGCCGAGCAGACGAAAGAACAGCGCAGGGTCCTGTGTCGTTCCTCCACGAAGACGGGGAGCGACAGTGCCAGTGCCGCAGGTGGAGGATTAGCCTATCGAGCCGTGGCACTGGCTGCATAATCTTATCTTAGCAGACTTAGGGCTCTGTGGGTGTAACTTTTAACCCATCATACAATGTTGATGTGGATCCCTGTTTCTTAGAATCAATAGTGAAAAGTAGCATCTCTTCTATGAACCTGCTGATTTTGGCTTGTTCCTTCCTGCATGTGTGTGTATCCCAGGCCTACCACCTGTCCCGGGGAAGAGTGTGGACCATGATCATCATGCTGTGTCTCATTGCTGCCGTCCTTTCAGCCTTTTTAGACAACGTCACCACGATGCTCCTCTTCACTCCTGTGACCATAAGGTTTGCAGAGCACTTCCACCGAGGGTATCGCAGCTGGTCTCAGGGCAGTTGTGTGCTCTGGCTTGAGGCTCTGTTCTTACATGCAGGAAAATGTGGTAAGGCAGAGACAGCAGCAACCGTTTTCCTGCAGAACAACTCACTGCATTCCAGTCCAGAGAGCATTGGTTTTGTGTGACTTCAGGGCACTCTTCAGACAGCACTGTGACAATAGCGTGGCCTGCAGGACACTGGAAGACACAGTTCTTGCTTTCCTGGAGATTATGCTTCATTGGGGAATGCGCAGAGAAGGATCTTTGTCCCAGACCATCAGGTTCTTGTTCTCCCCTATCAGCATCTTCTACCTGGGCTGGCTCAGCAGGTCATACACACAGGCGTGAGAGCCCCTGGCTTGGCCTCACAGGGGTGTATAGTGGGGATATGGAAAATCCAGAGACTTGGAGGATTGTAGGACTGTCTGGGTGCTCCAGAGTCAGGGCTTAGCCTGGAAAAACTCTGTGGGGTTCTCTTTGGGAAAGAGAACTTCTGTTCAGTTTAACTCCAATTCTTTTTTTCCCCCATGATGTGAATAGTGGCACTACTTTTATTTTCTTCCATTTGTGACAGATTATGTGAGGTGCTCAACCTTGATCCGAGACAAGTTCTGATCGCGGAAGTGATCTTCACAAACATTGGAGGAGCTGCCACCGCCATTGGGGACCCACCCAATGTCATTATTGTTTCCAACCAGGAGTTGAGGAAGATGGTATGTACCGGGGAGTAGTGTTGCCTTCAAACTACCAAGTATTGTCCTGGACATGCTCCCTTGGCACTCTCCCAGCGTGGTAGAATCCTTTCTAAGTGTTAATGAAAATCCATATTCTGAAGATCACCTCTTCATAGTAGGTGCTGTTAGTCATCTCAAGAGTAGGATATTAGGTGAGGGATCCTCTAATGTAGACTGAACTGATCTGAATTGTCTCAGTGCTTGTTCTGATAAATTTTTAAACACACTATTTGATGACAAGGTTTATTTAGTTGTGATACATCAGTTGTATTAATCGGAACTGAATTTTCTTCTAATATTAAGAAAAAAGTGATGTGTCTTCCGTCACTGCAGAAATGAGATTCTTCTCAACTGTAGTAGAAGTTCAGTGATGAAGAACTTAAAATTTCTTGTAAGGATTAGAAAAATTAAGGTTTTTAGAAATCTTTGAAAGTCCTTATTAATATAATTTCGTAACAATGGTACACAACACCTCAGTTACAGAATAACAGGGAAGAAATTCAACAAGAAGTTCCCCAGGGTGATCAAGGAGTATATATTTTCATCAAAGCATCCAAGTTATACCCAGATTCTCTAGAACATGGTGGGCCTACAGTGTAGCCATCAATACCTAATAGCCATGAATTCTTAAAGGTTTAAATAGCAATCAATGTAATTTACTACCCTAACGGACTAAATGAGAAAATCACATGATCATCTCAATAGATGTAGAAAAACTTGGCAAAATCCAATATCCATTACTGATAAAGTATCTCAGTAAGCTGGAAAAAGAAGAGAACATTAAAAACCTTGATGGAAAACCTACATGCAACATCATACTTAATTGTGGAAAATTTAGTGTTTTCCTGTAAGATCCTAAACAAGACAAGGATGTCTGTTTTCATTTCTTCTTATGAGTGTGGTTTTGGGGAGAGAGTGAGAGAGACCTTCCATTACTATTTCACTCCATAAATGCCTGCAACTACAAGCTCTGGGCCAGGCCAAAGCAAGGAGCCAGGAATTCCATCAGTCTTCCACATGAATGAAAGGGATCCAAATACTTGGACTATCATCATTTTCCTCCCAAGCACATTGACAGGAAGATACATTGGAAGCAGAGGAAGCACTTGATTGCAGGCAGTCCAGGATGGGATGCTGTATTAAGCTGCTGCACCACAATGCATGCCCCTTGTTCAATTCTTTGTTGGAGGCTGCAGCTTATAGGATACACAAGGAAAGAAATACAAGTTATCCATTTTGTAAACAAAGAATTAAGTCAGTCTTTAGGGGCCAGCACCATGGCTCACTTGGTTAATCGTCTGCCTGCAGCCCCAGCATCCCATATGGGTGCCGGGTTTTAGTCCCGGTGCTCCTCTTCTGGTCCAGCTCTCTGCTGTGGCCCAGGAAGGCAGTAGAGGATGACCCAAGTTCTTGGCCCCTGCACCAGCATGGGAGACTGGGAGGAGGCACCTGGCTCCTGGCTTCAGATTGGTGTAGCTCCAGCCATAGCGGCCACTTGGGGGGTGAACCAATGGAAGGAAGACCTTTCTTTCTGTCTCTCTCTCTCTCTCTCTCACTGTCTTACTCTATCTGTCAAAAAACAAAAACAAAACCAAAAATCAGTCTTTATTTGCATGTGGCAGAGTTGTCCATGTGGAAAATCTGATTCAATCTACAAAATAGCTCTTAAAATTAGTAAATTTAAAAGATTATAGGATATGAGATCAATATACAAAAAATCAAGTTTCTGAATTCTATGACTAAATAATTTAGAATTGAAATAAAATGTAATCTACAATAGCATCAATATATAGAATACTTTTGGGTAAATCTGATCAAACATATACATAGCCTGTATACTAAAAACTATATCATATTGCATAGTAAAGAAGACCTATATAAGAGGTATATTCTGTTCATGGATCTGAGGAGTGAATATATAACTGTTCTCCAAAATGGACTATAGATTCATGCAATGATCCTCAAAACCATTTTTTGGTAGAAATTTACAAGATGTTCCTAAAGTACAGATAGAGATTAAAAGTATCTAGAATAGCTTAAAATAAATTAGGAGGATCAGTACTAGCTTATTTCAAGATTTATTTTAAAGGCACTTTAACTGACAGGTATTGGTATTAAGATGGATAGATATATAGAATAAAGTAGGGAGCCAAAATATAGGCCCTCACACACGTGAAAAACTGATTTTGACAAAGATGCTAAGCCAATCTAGTAGACAATGGATAGTATTTTCCACAAAACAGTCCTAGAACAAATGGGTATTGATTTGCAGAAAAAAATTAGGTTTTACACGACTCCAGCTATCTACAAAATTTAATTCAAACTGAATGAAAGGCAAAAGTTTAAAACCTGAAACTAAACTTCAGTAGAAAAAATAGATTAGAGTACAATAGGTATAGAAATAGTTCAAGTGAGGATGTGGTTCCTTTATTTTCTTAGGCCATTTTTATTTTAATTAAACATTTTTTTAGCTTAGAATGGTTTTAGAGACTGGCTTTCAATTTCTGCTATTTTTCTTTTTTTCCCTACTATTTATGCCCATGTGTTAATGAGTGCTGCAACAGTTGAACTGCGCCAATGAGCATCATATTACTATTAGTGTCAAACCCTAGGCATGATGCCTTTCTTGGATACAAACTGCATCAACTGTGCTTCACTTTGAGTCTTCCCTTAGAGCCCCAGATCTAAATGCTCTGATTTAAATGGTGGGGCATCATCCAATACAGGCTATGGGTCACTACCACATAGAAGTTGAAGGCAAGGCACAATCTGTCAGACCATTCCCAGTTTCCTCCATGGCATACTACAGATGCTATCCAGATACTCAAGATGCTTAAAATCTGATGGTTGGGTACACAGGTGAGCTTTGGAAGAAATATTCAAAGCACCCCCTGGTCATACTGAGGCTCAGCCCAGGTTCATCACACAGCCTTGTAGCACAGAACATCCTCTGGGGACATGGCCTTGGGGTTGTCCTTGTTCTATTGAAGATTCATTTTATAATGGTTTGGAGATAAGGGACCTCTATATGGAGACACAAGTGAACTCACAGTTCTTAGGACAGTGTATTCAGGAGAATTAATTCGGAAAAACTCATTATCAGTAACAGCAGCACAGCTGTGTGTTGCAATGTGATGATCATATTTATGTTGCATTATTTGGTTATTTACCAATGAATTCAAATGTGAAGAAGACAAATTATGAAATAAAATCTAACTTTGAAATTAACTTAAAATATTTACAAGGAAAATTAATACTTAATATGTAATAATAAATAAGTACTAGCTTTGAAACAGTCAAGAAATCACATCTGAAAAAATCACTCACATTTTCTGAGGATTAGGCAGGAAAGACACTAAGTTATGTGGAACGTTCTTTCCACCTACCATTAACTCACCATGCTCACTTCTCTAAGGTCTTTTGTGATGACTCTGTTGTGGGACATCCAGCACTGACTGGGTTGGTGGGGTGTCCAGGATCCACCACATGGACATCCACTATTCTCCCCCAACCTGCGCCAGACCCCCTGAGAAGAATGTGAGTCACAGCACTATGGAATCCCACGTGCAACAAACCGCTGTCCTCTCATCTCTCAACAGGCCAGCCGGGATACCATCCTCTTTTAATGGTGACATTTGCCCCATATGACCATTGTAGGGACACTCATCAGTGCCAATAAAAGCTACACGAGCAGCTTTTAAACACCACTTGAAAACTGTCTTTGGGAGCGTGTGTGCTATCTTGCAAATAGAGAGGGAAGAATCACTCTGTTCCTAAATTTGTATTTATGAAATGCATGAAGTTTGTGTACCTTAAAGAAAAGATACCTGGGGAAAACAAAACAAAACAAAAAGAAAAAGACAGCTTTGCCATTGTGTCCATATGCTGTGCATGCTGGAACATTCTTCACAACTTTCCTGTCCTGCTCTGGAATTTACACGCACTTGAATGCTCCGCCTGGCTTTTCTACCCTGCTGTGTGCTGCACACACTGGAAATTTCTTTGGCTACTTCCCTACCACCATGTTCTTCCTCTCTGAGTCATGGCTTTGACAGTGTTATTTGACTTGTTCCTGCTCTGCCTCGCTGACCACCTCTTTTTTTTTTTTTTTTTTTTTTTGGACAGGCAGAGCTAGACAGTGAGAGAGAAAGAGACAGAGAGAAAGATATTCCTTTTTCCTTTGGTTCACCCCCAAATGGCCGCTAAGCCTGGTGCATTGCGGCCGGTGTGCTGTGCTGATCTGAAGCCAGGAGGCAGGTGCTTCCTCCTGGTCTCCCATGCGGGTGCAGGGCCCAAGGACTTGGGCCATCCTCCACTGCCTTCCCGGGCCACAGCAGAGAGCTGGACTGGAAGAGGAGCGACCAGGACAGAATCCAGTGCCCCAACCGGAACTAGAACCTGGGCTGCCGGTGCCACAGGCAGAGGATTAGCCTAGTGAGCCGCGGTGCCGGCCCTGACCACCTCTTAATCTGCATTGTGAATTTTTTGCTCCCAGGGCTGGCACTGTGGCTTCATGGGTAAAGCTGCTACTTGCAGTGCTGGCATCCCATTTGGGTGCCAGTTTGAGTCCTGGCTGCTCTACTTCCAATCTAGCTCCCTGCTAGTGTGCCTGGGAAAGCAGCAGAGGATGACAAGGCCATAAGCAAAGTAGAAGTTCTCTCCTCCCTTTAGAGAAAAGTATATCCTTCTTTGATGGCTACTTCTTTCCACTGGGGTCTCTCTCATAGAGATCCTTCACGTAGAACATTTTTTTGCTGCAGTTTCTTGGCTTCCCATGCCTGAAATGCTCTCATGGGCCTATGAAACCATACACTTTTATAAAATGATATTGGTGGGCTAGGATTTCCTCAGTCACTTATGCCATAAATGTGTGTAGCTTACTAAGCCAAGAATGTTCTAATCGTTTTTTTTTTTTTAAAGATTTATTTATTTTACTTGGAAGTCAGAGTTACACAGAGAGAGGAGAGGCAGAGAGAGGGAGAGAGGTCTTCCATCCGATGGTTCACTCCCCAGTTGGCTGCAATGGCCGGAACTGCGCCAATCCAAAGCCAGCAGTCAGGAGCTTCTTCCAGGTCTCCCACATGGGTACAGGAGTCCAAGGATTTGGGCCGTCCTCCACTGCTATCCCAGGCCATAGCAGAGAGCTGGATTGGAAGTGGAATAGCTGGGACTTGAACAAGCGCCCACATGGGATGCCGGCGCCTCAGGCCAGGGCATTAACCTGCTGCGCCACAGCACCGAACCCGAATGTTCTAATCTTATTCTGGGAGGGTCCTCCCTTGATTGTTTTACATTCTTCAACACAAATGAGGGCAATGTGGAAAATTTAGAAGAAAATGTCTGACTAGAGCCCCAAATAAAACAGTGCAAAATAACATTTATAGAAGCAAAGTAGAAGCAGCATCTTAAGAGAAGAAAGAACTGAGCTTAAACACTGTTGCTGGTGCAAGTATGGTCGTGGGCGTTTTTGTTATTGGGAGCATTTTAGAGAGGATTCTAAGAAATTACAGGGTTGTGTAACAGCAGCAGGGAGGCCCAGATACATGCATCTAATGAGTTTAGTGAATACTTTGACATCCCGCTGTACATTGCATCTACCTATATTGTTTCTTAAAATTATCAGCTTGTGCTTTTCTGTTCTGCAATGTTCCTACTTGATAAATCTATCCATTACCACTCGAGGAGCAACAAAATACTTCCACTTGGTGTTGTGTTATTTTTAGTGGATGTGCTCCTAGGTCCTCCTTACTCCTCTTTTTTTTCCCTTTCATCTGCTCATCATTTTTTAATTCAATTGCTCAACTATTTCTAACGAGGCAAACTTTGTAGTGATTGTATTCCATAGGGGCCAATAATTATTCAGGATACAGATACTTCTGCCTTTGTGTGCCACTTCCTCTGAGAAATATTAACAATTACATTTTATGACTCAGCCTAAAGACAAATGCATTTATCTTACTTTTAAACCATTTTTTTGCTGATCCCAAAGTTCACTTTTTGCTTCTTATTTTAAGGGTAATTAAAATATTTCATGAGCTCCTAAAATATTCTGGACACTTCCCAGTCATGTATCTGGAGCATGAATTCTGTAAATAAACACAAAATTTAAGATAATACCTCAATGAAGAATTATAAGAAAAGTGATGAATTCTTGTGTAGCCATTCAAAGTATTCCATGAGCCTCACCTCTCTGTAGGTTTCCCTGCCGTCTGTCCATAAATGAGCCCATATAGCTCCATCTGTCACTTATAATGCTGTTTTCAAAGACAACCATTGGATATGCAGATAACTACAAAAGATTAAGAACTTAAGAATATCATAATTTCTAGACTTTGACACACTTTATTAGTAATGGATTCTAGCTGTGTTGTATTTTAGCAATGCTGTAAGTGGTGAATGACTTTGTCTAGAGGTGAGGGCACAAATGAACCACTTTTCTATAAGCAATAATTAATATATTTTAAATCACTGCTTCCAACCCAGGCATTTGTAAGGTGGTTTTCCTAATTCCACTTGGGTATAGTCTTGGGAGCGTCACTAGTGTCCCAGGAGATCTGCTATCCTTCTGCCTGTGTAAGTAGATTTGTTGGCCCCCAAGGCAGAGCTTGACTTCCTGTGACCCGTTTAGCCACCCCACCCCACTACTGTACTCACGCCCACACTGGGGCCTCCCATGGTTGTGCTTTGTTGGCATGCCTCTGATCTTTTTTGTGACACAAGTGGTCCATGGATACTACAGAAAAGACCTCAAGTTCTCACCAAATGGACATTTTCGTGGAGTCAATGGCCTTGCCTGTTACACTGGGGGTTAAGGGCTGCTTTCACATATTTGATGAAGGTATAGAAGCACAAATTAATAAAAGAACAAAGCAAATGAATGATACTTCTGGAGTTTCCCTGAAAAAATAAACTAGCTGGTGACCATGGTACATAGTCACACAGTAGTCGGTAAAGGCATGAGAGGGAAGGAGGGGCTTCCCCCAGGGACCCTGTGGCTTCTCTGGGAAGCCTTAGCTTTGGCGGCTACGAGGTTCCCTGTGGAATGAGGGCTGTACTCTCCAGTCTGTTTTCAACCAAACCTAGGGGATTGAATGCGTCAGTCCAAAGATGAAGTCAGATCAAACCAAGGTTAGAATTAGATGTGATAACTTGTTTTTGTTATTTCTCAAGATGGCTTATCTTTTGTGTAAGGATTGACTTTTATACATGAGAAAAAGATAAACTTCAACATTTTCAAATGCAAGGCTTTGTGCTGGGCTCAGGACCCTTGACCCAAGGTCTAGAGCCCTGATATGGCCCTTTCCTCCCGACCTATCCCTCTCTGGTCCTGACATGGGAGCTGACTGCCGCCTGTGCAGAGGAAAGGCCTATCGGTCATTCCATTTCCCTTTTGCTCTTTTCAGGGCCTGGACTTCGCAGGATTCACCGCACACATGTTCATTGGGATTTGCCTCGTCCTCCTGGTTTCCATTCCACTCCTGAGACTCCTTTACTGGAACAAAAAGCTTTATAACAAGGAACCTAGTGAGATTGTTGGTGAGTATAAACACCTCCTCATCCAGCCTCAGATTTCAATGATGTAATGTTATTTTTTCCCCCAGGGAAATTCTTACAAACAGGCAGGAGTTGTTATCAAATGCAAAACATCAAAGAAGGGCCTGTCGTTGGGATGTTCCCTGCTCAGTGTCAGTGACTGACATGACGTCCTGGACCAGAAGCTGGCTCTGTGGAAGGGATGGTGGGAAGAAGCACTGTGTTCCTTAAGTTGTATTTATGAAATGCATTGAGTTTGTATACCTCATATAAAAGGTTTCTGGGAAAAAAGGAGGTGCTCTTACAATTATGCTTTAAATGGCTAGAAAGCCCCTTGTGTTTCACGGTTGGGCCTTAGACACACACACACACACACACACACACACACACACACACAGAGGGAGGGAGGAGGGGAGGGAGGAAGAGAAAGAGAGAGATAGAGAGAGAGAGAATGTATTCCACCCACCAGTTCACTCTCCAAATTCCAGGAGCCAGGAACTCAATATAGGTCTCCTATGTGGGTGGCTGGAACCACACTACGTGAGCTGTCACTTCTGCCTTTGAGGGTCTGCATTAGCAGGAACATGACATCCTGGACCAGAGGTGGGTATTGAACCCAAGTCCTCTGATAGTGGACATGGGTGTCCCAACTGGCAGCCAAATATCTGCCTCGAATGTCCTGTAAAATTTTTTTAGGTTTTTAAACACACACACATTCACTCACCCCAAATGCCCATAACAGCCAGGGCTGGGCCATGCTGAAGCCAGGAGTGGGGAACTTGGTCTGAATCTCTGGGTGAAAGGCAAGGAAAGCCTTCACATAGTGATGTTCAGAGCCCTGGGTGAAGCAGCGGCCCTCTCTGAACTCACACTGAAGCTGTTCTACCACTCCATCTCCCCTTTCCTGTCCCAACAGGGCATCTTTGTTGTCTTTCAGAAGGCCTGTTCATTGGTGGTTCTCCTCCTCCTGATCTTTCCTTCCTGTCTTCCACTCCTCTCCTCCCCTTCCTTCTCCTACTCTTCCTCTTCTTCCTCTCCCTGTGTTCTTTTTCCTCTCTTCTGTCTTCTGTTTATGTTACTATAACTTCATAGATGGTTTAATGAATTGTGAGACGACTTTTCAAAAGAAAACTGTGGTTCTGTGTCTCTGAAGAGGCCCTTGAATTGTTCCCACGTTTGTTTTATTAGGAAGCTGCAATGCCAATGCCTCTTTGTGAAGCTGAAGCTTTAGAAAACTCTGTGCTAACTGCAATAGTTTCAGTGCTCATGCATCCTGCTAGTTACTTCTCAATCTGAGTCTTGGCAGGCTTCCTTTGCAGTCTGAATCTCTCTGCCTGTTACTGTTGTTTTTTTTCAGCAATGCAGTAGGTCTACCACATCACAGGCGATAAGCAAGCATGTGCTGAATACAGTGGGCTTAAAAGGTGGCATTGTTAGTTTTTGATTGAACCATCATGTTCATGCTACCTCGCAGGTCTTTGGTCATTGCTGTGCCTTGCTTCTGCCTCGAGCTGGTTGCCAGCTGCTTTCGATCTTGATTGAAGGGTTTTGATCTTTTAATTCCATCTTTAATTTTTACAATATACAGTATAGGACATTGTATCGGAGTGGTTCCTGCTTTTTTTTTTATCTTTAATGACAATTTTGATAAGTTTTTGTAGTGTTTTCAATGGTAAAATAGAAGTTAAATGTAAGCGTCCATGAAATATTTTAATATCTTAAGAGACAATGCCCTGACAAATCATTTCTCTCTACTTCTCTAAATAAGAAGGTGCCTGAATTCAGTGGTGGGTGAAAATCCAGTCCATTCTCTTAATGTCAGTATTTCGTCTGACATTGTCTGCCTCTCTCACCCATGTCTTAGACTTTTGCCTTGATAGGAGTGAGGGCTTCTCCTACCTCCTGCCTCTTACTAAATGCCCTACAGGAGGGTCCTAACATTATCTCCTGAGAATTACACTTGTGCTTTCTATTTTCAGCAGATCTGTTTTTCCCCTAGAAACCTTTTATTTAAGGTATACAAACTTCATGCATTTAGTAAATAGCAATATAGTGATCCTTCCCACTGTACCAGCCCTCCCACCCTTTGGGCGATGTCTAGATTTGGGTTAAAATCAGGACCTGACCTGCTTCCTGCAAGAAGAGGGCAAGGTTATTTGGTGCTAGCATTGACAATGTAACTCTTCAAGAATGGAATTTGTTCTTTACCCAAGGCTTGAAATCATGTTATTTCACTTCCGTGGAGATTTTTATGTCAGCTTTATCACCTGTTCCCATTACAATCATTTATATATTTAGAAATCACTGCTTTGAGTTGACTTTGGGCTACTTGCACATTGTCAGTGTGCACGGTGAGCAGCCGAGTGTTGCTGATGACTGACGCCATGAGAAACCCAGGCCTCCCCTTCCTGTCTCTGCAGAACTGAAGCACGAGATTCATGTCTGGCGCCTGACTGCACAGCGCATCAGCCCAGCCAGCCGGGAGGAGACAGCGGTGCGAGGCCTGTTGATGCGGAAGGTGCTGGCACTGGAGCGCTTGCTGGCACGGAGGCTGCACACCTTCAACAGGTACCAAGTGGGACACTCCTGGGGTCACACTTGATTTACGGCAGTGGTTCTCATCTTTAGTGGTTACGTTTAATGAAGGAATCGCATGAACAGCCTATTATTCCATGGATACCTTAAAAGTGTCTGAATGCTATACAACACACCAATGAAGTGAGCTACAGTGATTATTCTTCAGAGCATTTCCTAGCGTTATAAAATCATGACACTAGCTCATGTAGTTTTTAGGTGTCACACAATGTGCTAATTCTTTCATAGTGCATTGGGTTATTTAACTCTCACTTAACTCTGCATGTTGTATCATGGCATTAGTGTAGTTTAAGGCATGAACACAGGGACTTGGAGAGTTTGAACAACTTTCCCAGGGTTAAATAGCTTGGTAATGATGCTAGGGACTGAACTCATACTACTGGGTCTCCCACATTTTAAATAAAAACAATTAACATAACAAATGTGACAACATATTATCCTCCTAGTTGATTTTCAGGCATCTCAAATATTACCATATTACCTAAACCCTCTGAATTCATTTCCTGGTATTCATTTTTAGTCCAAACTGAGGCTTAGATAGTAACCACGAGTTTGGTGAGTTGTTTCTCCTCATTACCGTAAGGTGATGAGTTCTAGTCTGACACCAATCTAGAAGCTCTGGCAGGAAAAGCAGGAACTCAGCAGCCCCTAAGGGATGTTGGTGCATTCCTACAACTGAGCTGGGGGTGGGTAGAGATGAGAAGTCTAACACGTATCCTTGTGAATGAGCTTGAGGCTGGTCTTGCATGATGCAAGTCGTTGGGAACAGCTGACACATGATGGCTCAGCCTGCATGGCTTCTTGAGGGCTGGTCTGTTAGTAGAAGAAAACGCCATAGGCAAGCCCTCAGATAAGCCCAGAGTGCAGAGATGCAGCTCAGGGTGAAGTACTGTCTCAGCAGCACCAGCCTCATCCCCAACCCAGCACCCACCTCCGCCCAGTGATGCTGGAGAAGCAGAACCTATGATCCACAAGCTAAAGGAGGTCCTGAGTTGAAGACTGGGGGCAGAGAATCCAACTTTATTGTTGTAAATTTTTTATTGGAGGGAGAGAGGGAGGGTGGGAGAGAGAGAGAGAGAACTAGCTAGCTTCCATCTCTCCCCCACAGTTCACAATGGCCAGGACTAGGCTGGGCCAAATCCAGGAGTCAGGAACTCAACCCAGGATTCTCACATGGGTATCAGAAACCCAATTATTTGAGCCATCACCTGCTGCCTCCCAGGGTCTGTGCTCACAGGACACTGGAGTCAGGAGCTGGAATTGAGTATCAACCCCATTCACTCTGATTTGAGACATGGGTGTTCCATAAACCCAAGCCTGACCAACTTTAAAAACCAGCATAGATATTGAAAGAGACAATTTTCATAAATTAAAGATGCAGAAATAAACCATCCTTGCACGGGGTGATCTCAGGCTCACAGTTGTGAAGAAACACGTGCCCTTGGAGAGTAACCAAGTTCCTATCAGCTGATCCTGTGCTGGTGGCAGATAAAGACATGGAGGCCATGCATTCACTGAGGAGCAGATGGCAATGAGGGTCATCGAGGAAATGCTAGTTCTTTTTTTTTTTTTTTGACAGGCAGCGTAGACAGTGAGAGAGAGAGACAGAGAGAAAGGTCTTCCTTTTCCGTTGGTTCACCCCCTAATGGCTGCTGCGGCCGGTGCACCATGCTGATCCATAGCCAGGAGCCAGGTGCTTCTCCTGGTCTCCCATTCGGGTGCAGGGCCCAAGGACCTGGGCCAGCCTCCACTGCACTCCCGGGCCACAGCAGAGAGCTGGACTGGAAGAGGGGAAACCGGGACAGAATCCAGTGCCCCAACCGGGACTAGAACATGGGGTGCTGGCACCACAGGTGGAGGATTAGCCTATTGAGCCGTGGCACCGACTGGAAAGTGCTAGTTCTGCAGGTCTTGCTTCCGGTTTCCTTCTAAAAACTTTCCTCAGAATCACTCAAACGGGTCTACTGTGATTTCCCATAGACCCAATGGTGTGGTCAGCTTGATTTTAATCTTGTGCTATGTGACTAAAACTACATTTTCCTCTGTGCAGTGCTTTTCCCTGATTGGTGTAGGAGAAAATGAACCAGAAAAGGTTGGCTAAGTTACAAAGATGAATAGGAAAGACAAAAGGGTGGTACCGGATGGGGTGGGGTCGGGGGGAGGGTGCTAGGACCCTCAGTGGTTACAACTAACTCCTAAGGCAAAAGCCATTTCTGCTACAGGTGCATGGTCCTTATTTTGGAAACAAGAAATTCAGAAAGTAGGAAGTATACAGAAGAAAATACAGGTGGTTTGCAGCCATTCCTCTTGCTTGTCTGTTGGCACAGGAAAGAATGAAATGTTCTTCATGTTGGTCCCTGTGCTCACACTGGTCATGCTGAGTAGTCAGTGTTGTGAGTGACAGAATCATTAGGGCACACACACACACATGCACAGAGAGAGAGAGAGAGAGAGAGAGAGAGAGGTGCGAAGGCATTTAGTAGGGAAATTGCCTCTTGTGATTATGGAGACTGAGAAGATCCACAATGGACTGCTTGCAAGCTAGAGACCTTAGGATACTGGTAGCTTTGCTCAGTCTGTGTCTGAAAGGAAATGGAGGTGTAACTCAGTCTAATTCCACAGGCCTGGGAACCCTAGGGGCTACTGTTGTAAGTCCCAGAGCCCAGAGTCCAGAGATCCTGGAGTTCTGGTATCTCAGAAGAGGAGAGGAACATGCATCCATATCTCAGAGATGGACATATTCACTCCTTCTGTGTTTTTGTCCCCTCCAGCCTCAGCCAGTTGAATAGTGGCCATCTACACTGCAGGTCGATCTTCCCCTCTGGTTCACTTAGTCTCAAACTGCTGTCCCCTGGAAACACCCTCACAGGTGCACCCCTAGTCTCTTGATTCCAGGTGTTCCTTAATCCACTCAGGTGGACCCCCAGAATTAACTATCCCACACATGCATATTCACACACACTTATTCAACATTTGGATCATTTCCTGTGAGAATCCTCATTGAAAGTAAAGCTTGGTCATATTTCCCAATTAACAAAGCAAACTCTCTGGTCACCTTCTGTCTCCAATTGTGCCGCTTATGTGTCTGTGCCAGACTCAGAGTGTTGTTGACTGCTGCCCTGTCAGTCTTACTGCTCAGTACAACTGGGGAAATAATGAGTCTGTCCTGTTCTCTTTTAGGCAAATCTCACAGGAAGACAAAAATTGGGAGACCAATATCCAGGAGCTGCAAAAAAAGGTATTGTGGTTTCTTTTCTCTGGGATGTCTAGGATTTATCTCTGGAAGAAGAGAACAATGTATTCATTTTCTTTACCTCCTTTGAAGTTAATACCTGAAGCTATTTCTCTCTTTTTTTTTTTTGACAGGCAGAGTGGGCAGTGAGAGAGAGAGACAGAGAGAAAGGTCTTCCTTTGCCGTTGGTTCACCCTCCAATGGCCGCCGCGGCTGGCGCGCTGCGGCCAGCGCACCGCGCTGATCCGGTGGCAGGAGCCAGGAGCCAGGTGCTTTTCCTGGTCTCCCATGGGGTGCAAGGTCCAAGCACCTGGGCCATCCTCCACTGCACTCCCTGGCCACAGCAGAGAGCTGGCCTGGAAGAGGGGCAACCGGGACAGAATCCAGCGCCCCGACCGGGACTAGAACCTGGTGTGCCGGCGCCGCTAGGCGGAGGATTAGCCTAGTGAGCTGCGGCGCCAGCTATTTCTCTTTTTATTCCTGTAGCTATAGAAGTGACAGAATTTGTTTCTATGAGTTAATGGGGAAAACATGACATGGTAGCTATATTCTGCCAGAAAATTGAGACATTAACGTATTTTATGCCCTTTAAGATGCCCCCAAAGTGTGCTCTGGAGAGACACCCAGAGGCCCACCTAGCCAGTGTGCTGGTGCCTGAGGCTCCCCAGCCTTCTGACTCTGAAAGGCAGTCTCCAGTTCCTGTGTTGTGCAGAGGAGACAGCTGGGACTGGTGAGATGTGATAGAATAGCATCAGGGACAGACACAGGATGCATGGAGTCATGCCATAACAGGCTGAGTTCTGGGACAGAATTCGTTATTTTTGAAGATTTATTTATTTGAAAGGTAGAGTCACACACACACACACACACACACACACATGCAGAGCACACTTCCATATCCTATAGTGGTTTACTCCCCAAATGCTTGCAATGTCTGGGCCTGGGTCAGATCAAAGCCAGAACCAGGAAATCCATTCCAGTTTCATACATGGATGGTAGGGACCCAAACACTTGGGCCATCATCTGCTGCCTCCCAGGTGTATCAGCAGAAAGCTAGACTGGAAGTGGAGTAGCTGGGACTTGGGCCAGGCACTCGGACATGAAACATGGGTGTCCTAAGTTATATATAAATTAAATAAATTTCTGGGCCACAATGTTCACGTTCAGAGCTCATTTTGGATTTCTCTACTCATTTCCTGCCATTGCACACTTTTTCAGCCCAGCTGTGGGGATCTAAGCCTCACACCCCTCAGCAGAGAACTCCCCTTCAGATCTGCTAGGATTCATGTGAAATTCCATGGAATTTCCAATCCAGGTGGTTTCTTTTCCACAGAGAGATTGACCACCTACTGTCTCATTATGCTTGGCACATTTTGTTCTTGGCTAAAAGAGATTCAGACATTGGAGTCTTGGTAGGCAATGTGTTGTTTTGGGAGTTTGGATTTGTGAACTCTCTTCCCAGTCTTCGTCCCACGCAGATGGTCAGGGTTGAGTGAGAAGGGGAAGCTATGATACCATTCTGGGCCCCAAGTTTATAGGAACCCAGTGTACCTTGCTAGACCGTATTGTTTTGGCTACAAGTTAGAGAGACTGAGTACCTCTCTGTGAACTGGTGGTCAAGGATTGGGATGAAATAGAAGGTGAAGCAACGGGCTTGGCAATATCTGTTTCTTGCATTGAAGAATTCCTTCCGAAATAAGCCTAGATGGCCAAAAAGCATCTGATGCCCAGTCAGACACCCAAGGGCAACGCCACTTGCTCCAGCTGCATGACACTGGCTCCTTCTTAGGCCTGCCCGATCCTCCACCTCCACTCTTTGAACTGGCTATGGTCATACTGACTTTGCTGTGGTTGATGTGACCTAGGGAAGGTTTGTCGTGATTCCCTGTGTACTTAGTGGGAGTCCATATTGATTTCCTCTGAGAACTTCAGGTTTTTCCCCCTGCTCTGTTCCTTTATTCTTAATTCTTCATCACAAAATCATGTTGAAAAGTCAGCCTTCCTTGGACGTGGGAAAGGAGAGGTGAGTGGGGGCCAGCTGCTTATATTTTTGATGGCAGCAGCCTGTGTGAACAGAAATTCACGAGGAAAAATGATCTACCTCTACATACATATATTTGTATGTCTGTACTTATTATATCTGTGTCTCTCTGTTTATATTTAGATATACATCTGTATAAATCTATAGAGATAAGTAAGCACAGAAGTCTACAGTCAGCCCTCTGTATCACGGGTTCTGCACCTGCCAATTCAACCACTGGGACTGAAAAAATTTGTCTGTATTGAATATGTACATATTAAGAGAATAGCAACTATTTACATAACAATGACATAATTTTAGGTGTTATAAGATAACTAGGGATGATCTAAATTATATAGGAGAATGCGTATATGTTATATGCAACTACTACATTTTAGAAAAGGGGCTTGATCATCTGTGGATTTTGTTATCTGTGGGTGATTCTGAAAATGTGAGGGACAGCTATATTTCTATTTAAATATAGATGGATTAGACAGACAGGTGTGCTGGCCGGGGATGACACATTTAACAAAATACCTGGTGCAGTGGTTGGGACAGATGGTGGAGCTTGGTTGCATACGGTGACTCGGTTAGTAGAGTAGGCCAAGCTGGCCCTTGTCTGTGCTCCCTGGCCCTGGCCCCACAGGTACACCCTCACTGAGAAGAACACCTAGTCCTGCCCTGTGACTCCAAGGTTAATAAAAGCATTGCAGATTCCCAAGGGTGTCACCCCAGTGGTTGGGGGGCATCACCCATACTCTGAGGCTCTCATGAATGCTAATGAAAGAATATGGTGAGAGCCTTATCAGGGGTCATGGTCTTGCAAGAACATGTTAACCTCAAGACCACAGGCTTTGCTTGATAGGAAAGTTGAACAGGAAGATTGTAACCACCCAAGCACCTGTTGAAGTGCTTGTGTCTTTTTTTTTTTTTAAAAATATATTTGAAAAAGTTACAGAGAGGCGGAGGCAGAGAGAGATAGGTATTTCATCTCCTGGTTCACTCCCCAAATGGCCGCAACAGCCAATCTGATCCAAAGCCAGGAGCCAGGAGCTTCATCCAGATCTCCTACATGGGTACAGGGCCCAAAGTCTTGGGCTATTTTCTATTGCTTTCCCAGGCCATAACAGAGAGCTGGATCTGGAGAGGAGCAGCTGGGACTAGAACCAGCACCCATATGGTATGCTGGCACTGGCAGGCAGCAGCCTTACCCACTATGCCACAGCACTGGCCCCAGTGCTTGAATGGCAAGGTCCTTGGAGGTGATTTGTCACCCTCCCACCAGACACTGGGGTAGGGCTGGAACAGCTTAACACTTTCTGTGTTAAATTGAGAATCCGATGTTGTATAAAAGAACCATTGCTTTTTATGTCTATTGTGTTTATTTTTCAAAACAATTTTGAATGGGACAATCCTGACTCTACAATTTTCTTTCTAACACGGTACCTGGTTATCTTATTTCAAGTTCAAGATCTTCTATCTTTCATTATAAGGAGAAAACTGTAGCAATTCAAGTCATGTAGGATTGTGAACACAATGCAGGAATCACAGTGCACTGAGTAAATAGATGTGTTTTCCTCTCACAGCATAGGATATCAGACCGGATTCTGCTTGTCAAATGCCTGACAGTGCTGGGATTTGTTATCTTCACGTTCTTCCTCAATTCATTTGTCCCTGGCGTTCATCTTGATCTAGGTGAGTCTAATTTGTTGCTAGTTTTTGTTGTTAGGCTTTGCAATTGATATCCTAGTCTGGAGGGAAGACTTCAAAGCAGATGCCCATACACTCACTGTACCTATAAGCAGCAATGAGGTAAGGATGTTGGAGAGGGCAGAGACAGCTGGTGGGCAAAAGCCTGTTTGTGCTACTTCGTTTGATAATGGAGATAGATTGAGAGTTCCAGTTTCTGCCAACTTGGGGCCCAGGTCCTTAGTGCCTCCAGCATTTAACCCTAGAGAGATACAGAGCAGGGACTGTCATCTCTATTATACTTGGTAGCCATCTCTTTAAACTGTTCCTTGAGGAGACGGGAAGGTTTGTTAGCAAAGCCAGTTCTGCTTTCCCTGCAGATCCACAGCTCAAGGTGATGACTAAATGAGAGACTCTGGAAGGGCCGGAGAGTTACATGTGCTCTGTGCAGGCCCACTCTCCTTACTGGACTGGGAAGCCATTTTCTCTGTGCAGCAAAACCCGTTCTCCCACCTTCTCATAGGTCCCTTCTGTGGCTTCAACCACACCCCAGCTCTCAGACCGCTACACTCTCCCTGGACTTGTGTTGGGGATGGAGACCCTTCCCCACTTGAGAACATAGCTCCCTTTCAGATTGAGCTTGCTAACACACTTTTCATGAACATTATTCATCTTCTGTAGAAATTTCCTACCTCCAATAGTGTCATTATTTAAAACAAAGTGACAGAAAATCCCTTCCAAACGCCTCCCTCATGAAAGCACAGGTTAATGAGAAAGATAAATTTGAGGAGGTATCAGGAAGTCTTTTCTTTAACCAAAGCTTTACCCATGGTTTTGTTCAAAAGTGAACTCTCCTAATATCTATATCTTATTTTATAAATGTTTGATTTATGACGACTTTCAAAAAATTTACCTGCTGTAGAAAGAAAAGGCTCTGAACCTTGTAAAACAGATGAATTTGCAGCCAGCGTCAGTTATTCACATAACATCACTGTCGGGTTTCTAGCTTTCATTAGAAATCTTTAGTAGTCAGTTTCCATTTTCTGTCATATAAAATAAAACCATATTTCCAAATTCTCACATACAGCACATGATATACCTGTTTTGGACTGGTTGTCCACCTTTCTATTACACATTTGCAGTCTCTCAGAGTTCATTTCCATTAATAATCTCAAATCCAATTTGCCAGGTGGCCTAGGCTTGACTCTGAGCTGACAGGTGTTTTTAGCTACACCTGAGAGCTGATCCACATGGAATCTCAATGAAGTAATGGAGAATGCCAAAGCTAGACTGGCAACAATGTCATGCACTTCCCTTGCTTTTTATGGATTATATCTAGAAGCTGTTGCAGTGTAATTATTTTTAATTATACTCAGACAAAACATAATTTTAGCATTACAAGTCTTTAATCTGCACAAGAATGTTAAATGGCAACTACTGGTAATTTAACAAATATAATAAAACTAATGTTTTGTGAGAAGAAGTGTCCCATTAGAGGATTCTTTTGGATGTTCACAGATTATTTTGTTTCTAATTTTATTTGAGATTCTACTTTAAAAGAACAGAGCAGTCATTTTAAAAACTAAAAATATGACATTTTATGAACAATCTTGCTAGCACTTAGCAGTAATCCTTGCATAAAGAACACTAATTTTAAAACCTAATGTCAGTCTTTAAATATGTGGACTTAAATCTTGATTACAGTGAAGCTTCATTTTAGCCTTTGAAGTTTATGCTTTTAATAAAGATGTGTCATTTCTTTCTTTGTGTTTGTTGCATCTGTGATTGTATCTTTTCTGTTTTTAAATCTTGCTCTGTTTCCAGTTAGAGTTTGTGTACCCATGGTTTTATCTGGGGATTCTGGAGTATATAATCCATGCATTTGCATATTTTTCATGATATTAGATTGAATAGGAGAGATTTGGTTAGCATGTATTTTAATAGAATACAGTTTCCTTAGAATTACAGTAACTCTTCTGATAACAGGAGCAAAATAGATGCAGGATCTTTCCAGGGCTTCAGTCAATAGAGAATGTGATCATTTGTCTTTAGTAAAATTCTGTTTTGAATGTAGCCCACTTTGTAAGATGAGTTTCTATATTGTGATTCTACAAGGTAACATTACATCACCAAATTACATCATGTAATGTGTGACATATGCCACAACAGGATGTCCAATGACACAGGTGATGTCATATTATACTATGCATCAAATAATACAAAATGACATTGTATAAACGTAATATCAAAATACAAAGTAATAACATAGAACATTTACATCATGTAAAACAACAGGGCTTCATGCCAAATGAAGTATATCGTAGCATGTTACATAATATAGCACAGTATATCACATGACATCATGTAATACAGTGCATAGCATGCAACACATGTGATATTATAAGACATAATGTAGTGTTATATAACACAAGGTGATATTATTTAAAAATGTGCATTATATTGCACAATGTGTCATCATTTAACACATTCCCTAAGATTCATAACCTAATCACATAATTGACTTTTTTCTTTATTTTTAAAATTAACATGGGCCCAAATTGCCTTTTCTTTTGCATGAAATTTCTATGAATTTTAGCACATAGGTAGGTATATGTAACCTCCACTACAATCAGAATGCAGAATACAGAGTTAGAGCACCAAAAATCCCTTCCTTGTGCTCTCCCTTTGTGATCACTCCCTCTGCTTCCAGTCCTGGCAAGAACAGGTTATTCCCCATCACCATAATTTTGTCTTCGAGAACATCATATCTATGATTGTAGCAACTTTTTGAGATTGGTTTCTCTAATAGCATAATGGCTTCCAGATTCACCCAGGTTGCTGTGTGTACCAACAGTTTGTTCCTTCTTTTGCGAAGTACCGTTCCATGTCATGGATGTGTTTGTTTGCTTTGACCCATTTTGCTATTGAAGAACATTTGGGCTGCTTCCAGGTTTTGGTGATTGTGAGTTCAGGAACTGCTGGCTTATATAGTGGGTTTATTTTTAACTTTAAAAGAAACTGTCACACCATTTTCCAGAGGGACTTTGTCACTTCACATTGCCACAGCAGTGCACAGGAGGCCCAACTACACCACATTGTTGTCAGCACTTGGCGCAGTCAGACTCACTCTCCTGCACCCCACAGAGCCTGTATATACCTTCAGTATAGAACTTATTTGCAGCCAGCACCGCGGCTCACTAGGCTAATCCTCCACCTGCGGCACCAGTACCCCGGGTTCTAGTTCCGGTTGGGGTGCTGGATTCTGTCCCAGCTGCTCCTCTTCCAGTCCAGCTCTCTGCTGTGGCCCGGGAAGGCAGTGGAGGATGGCCCAAGTGCTTGGGCCCTGCACCCGCATGAGAGACCAGGAGGAAGCACCTGGCTCCTGGCTTCGGATCGATGCAGCGCACTGGCCGTAGTGGCCATTTGGGGGGTGAACCAATGGAAGGAAGACCTTTCTCTCTGTCCTCTCTGTCTCTCTCTCTCTCACTGTCTAACTGTGCCTGTCAAAAAAAAAAAAAAAAAAAGAACTTATATGTTATTTTCATCCTTTCTCCTCAGTCCCCTGACCTCTTCATGCCCAAGTACACTCAAGAGCGTTCTGTGTGTTCTCATCTTCTCAGTGCCTTGTGTTGACACCTGACGTATTGCACATACAAGGTATAGGCTTACAGAATGCATGGACACATTTCTCATTGACTCCTATAGATTCCAGCTTAATTTTTGTGAGGATTTCATATGTGGTTGACTCAGGTTGGGTTCTTCAGAAAGGAAACCCCAAGGTAAAAGCTGATGTGTGAGTTATTCAATGGGGAGTACTCTCCTAGGGAAGAGAGGTAAGAAATTAGAAGGCAGAATAGCAAAGGCAGTGAGCCAAAATAAGGCTTCATCCATGTGCTGACCACTATTAGGGACCACTGGTTACTCCATTCCATTGGATTGTCGAGAACTGTCTATTGGGTTTAGTGGGAGAAAGAGGCAATGTATACCCATTGGCTTTATTACCGAGGAGACTGGAACTCTATCCAGGTACTTGGGCCAATTTCTACTGCTTTCCCAGGTACATTAGCAGTGAGCTGGATTGGAAGTTGGGCAGCTGGGACTCTATCTGGCACCCATATGGGATGCCAGTACTGCAGGTGACAGTTCTACCTATTATGTCACAGTGCTGATCCCCCTCATTTTTATTTAAAAATTTATTTATTCAAAAGTCAGAATTTCATAGACACACACACACACAGACACTCATACACACACAGAGAGGGGTCTTCTATCTTCTGGTTCCTTCCCAAATGGCCTCAATGGCTGAGGGTTATGCCAAGCTGAAGGCAGGAGCCTGAAACTTCATCTGGGACTCCCACATGGGTGGTAGGGGCCCAAGTATTTGGGCCATCTTGAGCTGCTTTCCCAAGCACATTAGCAGGGAGTTAGGTCAGAAATGGAGCAGCCAGGATTTGAACCAGTGCTCATATGGGATGCCAGTGTTGCAGGCAATGGTTTAAACCACTGCACCACAACACTGGCCGCTGATCCCTTTTTTTATATTAAATAGGTATTTTTGTATGCATTTTGATTCCCTATTGCTGTAGTTTTTGAGTTATTTTCTTAGTGCTTGTCCTGAGAATTGCAATGAGCATTTTATTTTTGTAACAACCTAGTTCAGATTAATACCAACTTAGTTTGAAGCATATAAAAGAACTTCTTGTTACTTAGCTCTGTTCTCTCCTTGCTTTTTGTGCCATTATTGTCACAATTTAATTTTTATACCAGTTATTTCTACCAATCCAGTTTTGTAATTATTACTTTATGCTGTCATTTTAAATCAAATGAATATTACAAACAAAATTACAGTTATATTCTTTTATTGTAGAAATGCTTTTATCAGTGCACTGTATTTCTTCATGTAAATTTGAGTTACTGTCCAAAGTCTGTTCATTTCAGCTTCAAAGACTTCTTTAAGTATTTCTTTTATGAAAGGAATGTTGGCAGTGAATTTTCTTAGTTTTTGT